CATTTAACCTGGGTGTTCGGATTTATATGTCACTTAGTATATATAAAACTGAAACTACAAAATTCCAATTATATTAATACTTTTGAGAATTAACAATAATTGTTATACACATATAATTGATTGTTAGTTATTTACGATATAATCCACACACAGGCCGTGCCTTCTTCATATTTATTTGCCCATTTCTGCACTTTTGCGAATAAAAATATTATTATTAATCACGAATTATTAAAAGGGGCCTTTCCCTCTGTCTTGCTGTCACTATGTAGAATGACACTGTCCGTCACTCCGTCTAAGAAAAAATTGAAATTTGTAGTAATTAGACCTAAAAGATCAACACAGGATGTAGTTTTTTCCGATTATTTTAAAGACTATAAGTTGAAAAGTACACGGATTTTTTTATATTTTTCTGATAGGTATTATGACTGGCCTATCCCCCGTTCCGGCTTGACGTCACCTTCTGGGACACCCTGTATATGTACTATGTATCAAGAGACATTTTTCATAGCACTTCGTTTCTTAGTTTCCACCAGTGGCGTTCATACGTATTTTCACCTGCAGACATCGATGGTACGATTTCTCTTAAAATAACAGTAACCCAAAAAATAAAAAGTGGTTTGTACATTTGACTAGAACTACCTAGGGTTATGTAATTCGATGCGCTCAATCCGAACCTGAGGTCCGTTTGTCCTCTACACCTTGGAAATATTGAGTAAATTGTCACCGCTAAGGCAGCAGCGTCTCCTGATCAGTCGCCGTGCGCTGTGCGGGTTCGAATCCCGTCCCAGGAGAAGTTTTTCTCTTGGTTATGGATGTTGTGATTGTCCGTAGGTGGTAGACGGTCTCTGACTGTCGAACGCGGAGGTACCACCCGGCGGATCTCGTAGGCGGAGCCAGAATGTGTGCATGTTGCATACACACGTGTTCCCTCGCCAGAGTCCGTGTGGCGTTCCCCATTTCCCATGTATCCCCTATAGCCCCACGGTACCCCATGGGTGTTTAGGCCTTCGTGGTAGTTGGAGTATAAAAAAATTACTAAAAATCGACCTTGATTAGGTACCCAAACATAACCGGAATACGGAATAGCATTTCAGTGGGCGGAGCTTGTGTAGTACACATTACTGCCCCTAAAGGCGTACAGCGCAACTCATTACCAGTTCAGTGCCACCTGAGTTGTCGATCTGACTTGTTTCGTTCCTCTGTAGTCATTATTTTTTCTAGAGCCGTTTCGTGCTTGTTTCGTTTTTTACGATGGCATGCTTCAGTGAGCAACGTGCAGCTGTGAAATGTTGCTTTCTAATTGGTAAAGATGCTGCTGAAACTGTTTTAATGTTGAAAATAGCTTACAAAGATGATGCTATGGGAAAAATTCAGGTGTACGAATGTATATTAAGTAAACATGTTCATATTGTTCGGATCCTGATATGACAAAAAAACCTTTATGAAAAGTACGGCAGGGAATGCCTTCAACATTTTATCAGCATATACTTCCATGATAGTAAATATGTTTACAAGTTTTTATCAGAATTCAAAAAATTATTCTGGATGTTGCATTTTATATATCACTTAGTATGTTTCTTATGTATTCTGAACAGAAGTCAAATTTTATTTACAACCTCCTACTTCGAGTAGATTGCAAAAAATCGCCAGGAATCGCTAACAAATAAAAATGTAGGTTTAGTAACTGCAAATTTTACGATTCTTTACGATTTTCTTTCGTGATGGTTCAAGTATGCAAAAAAGCAAAAAAAGTAGATGGAAAATAGGGATCAACCCTCGTAACATGACTATAGGTTCTCTCCGATTCTGTAGACAGACACATTGCCATAAATAGTATTTCGTGATAGTGGACAGATTGTTCGATATCTCTGTACCTTATAAGTTTCAATTTCTTTGGATATCTCCACAAGATTTTATATACTTCCATGATAATACGCTCGTTTTAGATTTCGATGTCATTTTCAATAATTTCATTATTCAATGCAAGCTTTTAGGTTTCTTTTCTAAAAATCTGTACTTAAAATTTTACCTCCCATTTTGGACTCGCCTACAACTTTTGATATGGGGCCGCTGAGGAGCAAGCTATGCCACTGAGCTTGATCTAAAAATTGTGACATATTTTTAAAAAGAAACATCGGGGAAAGTTAACAAATGACGTATTGCAACATCAGCATAATGCTTCCAGCCATACCTTCTGAATTGCTATGACTATTCTCCACCAAGTAGGCTTGAATTGTGCATTGTGCATTCCCCATTCTGGTCGTCAGAAATTAAAAAAGGGAGGTGAAACACAGGAATCAAACCTCGTTACATGACCGTGGGACTGAGTAGATAGAAACAGCAAGTTTATGTTAATAACATTTTATTACTTTATAAATATAAATCTTAAATGATATATACATAAGGTGAGATCAAGTTATTCTGAAACAGGTTGCAACCATGACAAATCGATCTAAAATATAGGGTCATCCAAATTTAAACGTAAGTCTCAAAAGAGTGTATTCTTTTATTACAACATTCCTGTGTATAATATAGATTGTACAATACCTCTGTATACTTTATCTGAAGTCACTTGAAACACTGTGAAATACCGGGTGCGTTTTATATAACTATATTTAACACGCTCTGTTGCTGCAAAAATCGCCAAATTTCGCAGCAAATATAAGATCAAAGGCAGTTTCACCGGTCCACGTGGAGTAAAGCACGCCTATGCGTGGGCATAGCCAATGAGAAAGCGTGTATTTCAGAGCTCCGAAAAAGTGCAGGTGTACCTACTGAAAATTGAAACAGTTTAGCCAGTGCCGTGTAGCGGTGAATAAACGTGTTTTCTTTAGTCTGTCCGTGTTTTTTCATAGATTTTATTAGTTTGTGTGTTTTTGACTTTTGAATACTCTGTTTACTTGTTGATTTAATTGTTGTGTTGATTGTTCTTGTGTGTCCTAAATATGGCTCTTTGGAGACCTTGGGAAAATGCTCCAAGCCACGAGGAGATGGTTGATGAACCTGTGCAGGCAGAATTCTTTCATAAAGATTTAGAGGAACAGACCCAAAGAGTAATCCTAAATATGTATGATTGTCTGAAAAACGAAAATCCAGATTCCTCGCAAAATCAAATTTTAAACAGAATTTGTATCCTGACAAAAATCAGTCGGTCTACCATTTATCGGGTTATAAAAAGGGGAGATGTAGTCAACCATTCCTTCCACAGAAAGCGCATAGGGCAAAAATTAAAAAGAATAGACGTGGGTTTTCAGGAAGATATTCGTCGTATAATATACGGATTTTATAAAGAAAATTTGGTACCCACGTTGGAAATGATACGGGATAAATTAAAAGATTACCCTGAAGATTTTTATAATTACAAATGCTTAGACTCACTGCATTGTATTGTAAAACTGTGTGGTTTTCAATACAAAAAATTAGATAAAAGAATGGTGATTATGGAGTCGTCTCGAATCATTGAATTGCGCCAAGAATTTTTGCACAAAGTTAAAATCTATAGAGAGCAGAAAAAAAAATCTGATTTACCTGGATGAAACGTGGTATGATACCCATGATGTTGTGCAGTACGGCTGGGTTGACGACAGCAACAAGTGCATTTTAAATGCACCATGCAACCGTGGAAAACGAATCATTATTCTCCATGCTGGCAGTGAAAATGGATTTATACCTAATGCCTTGCTGTTATCTGCGAAAAATATCAAAGAATCATGTGCCGACTATCATGAGGACATGACCTCCGACTTATTTGAAAAGTGGTTAGAGCAGCAGTTAATACCAAACATTTCCCCAAATTCAGTGATTATTATGGACAATGCGCCATACCATTCCCGACAGAAAAACAAAATTCCGAATACAGGCACAAAAAAACAAGACATTATTGATTTTATGAAGGATAAGGGAATGGAAATACCACAAAAATCAACCAAAGCCATATTATTGGATCTTATTAAAAGACAAAAATTTGAAAAAGAGTATGTTGTTGACAATCTGCTTCAGCAAAATGGCCATGAAGTATTACGCCTACCTCCCTATCACTGCATTTTTAACCCGATTGAGTTGGTCTGGGCTGCTTTAAAAAACAAAGTAAGAAAACATAATCAGACCCCTCAATTAAGTGAATCGCTATTGGCCACAATAAGAGATGCAGTATCTCATATTGCTGCCACAGACCTATGGAAGCAGTGTTCTAGGCATATTATTGAAAAAGAAAATGAATATTGTGTTTTGCCTCCTGTAAATCCCGTTGTAATTCCTCTACAAGATGACTCTAGCGACAGCTCCGAAGGTGAGGATGATATATAAATACCTATAATGTAAGTCTTTATATACCTTTTTATATAACTACCTGCTATGTAAATATTTGCCTATGTCAAACGTTGGAATTCTGTAATTTTTCCATTTCTTAACTTTCAGTCAACATAAATTAAACTCCCAATATAAGTATTTTTTATCCCAAATCAAAAAAATAAGAAGATAGTAAAATCCATTTATTGTGATATAAAAACATTATTATTATCGTTCTAAATAAATCACCGCACGCCTATGATACGTCATGAAATTACAAAGGACGCGCCGACCAAAGGTTTTTATGCTATTTCAAGTGACTTCAGATATATCATACCTTCATTAACGTTTTAAATTTCTTTGGTCATCTTCACAAGATTTCATTTACTTCTACGGGAACACTCTCATTTTAGATTTCGTTGTGATTTTAATTTTTGTATATGCTTACCCTAACTATTTTACAATAAATAAATAAAGATTTAGGTACCATGGAATGACTAAAATTGGTTGACGCTAGACAAAATATAAATATGTAACTATATACAACTCTTACTATATGTAGTATCGTTACTATTAAAAAGGTAACGATAATATCTGTATACGATACAGGGCACTTGCATGTAAGGCCATAGTTTGTGCAAGGTCACTTTAAAAGGAAATGGAATGTCAATTGATCACAGAACTAAACTAAAATCGACCTGCACAACCTAATATCAGTATGCTACCTCAGCACCCCAAGGTCTATACGGCTTCATCCCTTGTGACGTAGGGATGCTCTGATTGTAATTTTGGTGGTGATGCGACGTGGGTATACTGAACGCATTCACGGGATACTGATGTTGACTATGAGCCAAAGATGTAGACGTCGCAGTAGTCAAAGGAGTTAAAACAGCAGTTGAGGGGGTCAATCTAGAGGGCTCTGACACTGTTGTAGCAGTCTGCGGGGGACAGGATGTCGCTATGTCGAAATGCCCCAGCTCGTGGTGCATATTTTGGTGATGTAACGCTGGCGGAGGTGGATTCAGGTTTCCTAGCGGAGGAGGATGATTAGGAGCTGGTGAAAGTGGAAGGGTATTTAAAGGAGGATATGTTTGGGAGGCGCTATAGCTCCAAGGAGCAGGCGGGGTCTGTTTTGAGGCGAGTTCCCTTTGAGCTGCACAGCACTGTAGGTGTGAGGTCAAGCGAAGTCTGAGGGGATTCTGGACGTCAAGACCTTCTATTCGCTCCAGGTATCGGATGACCTCAGCCACGCATTCTCTGAACCCCATTCCGTGGTAGTCCATCGCGTATTTGTGAGGGTCGTACGCCAAAGAGTCCAAACCTGGAATAGAAGAAAAGCTTTAGTGCATTTGTAATTTACTAAAATCTGAAGTACAGTATAGTAGTAGTATACAGGGTGGCGCATCGAAAACGAAACAGACGCATTTACTGGCAGCTCAGTTTTTTTTTTTTTGGAAAAACGCTCAGACCCGTCGATTTTGTTTTCGAGGGAGACACAAGTTTGGCAAAAAACCACGTTAACGCGTGCAGCCCCCTGGGCGGGGGTGACACCAACCCTAAAATCTTAAATGGAAAGGGGGTCGAGTGATACCTTATTTTAAAGGTTTTTCAATTCCCTTTATAATGATGTAAAATACATGAGCTTCAGTTCAGTAGTTTTGAAGATTTATTGATTTAAAGCTTAAAGTAGACTTTAATAAGTACGTCAGTTTAGTTTTATTTAAGCTTTAAATCAATAAATCTTCAAAACTACTGAAGTGAAGTACATTAATTTTATATCATTATAAAGGTAATTGAAAGACCTTTAAAATAAGGTATCCCTCGACCCCCTTTCCATTTAAGATTTTGGGGGTGGTGTCACCCCCCGCTAAGGGGGCTGCACGTGCTAACGTCATTTTTGCCAAACTTGTGTCCGGGTCTGAGCGTTTTTCCAAAAAAAAAACTGAGCTGCTAGTAAATGCGTCTGTTTCGTTTTCGATGCGAAATCCTGTATAGTATAGTGAGTATACATAGAAGTTTGAGAAGATTCCCATTATTTGGCAATTTTACAATAATGTTATCTCAGTATTGACGTTCTCAAACGCGGTAAACACAGAACTTTCGGAACTATTGACATTATATTCGATATCTTCATTGATTATAGCTCCATTTGTTCTTATTTACTTATAACAAAATCAACAACCATTACGTGTCTTACTCTATGCCCGTTTTACATCAATAAGTTAATCACGAATTTATTCAGATGGATTTTTTCAAGGTCATCAACCTGGATAACCCGACAGTTCTGCCAGCAGTGCCTGTTACACAACAAATACTTGCTAAAGACATGTTGAGTTTTTATATATATTGTGGTTTTGATCTTGAGGTTAATCTCATAAACAGAAACAATATTATTCAATACTATTAAAGTTCTATATTTGAATTGGAAGGCGCAATATCTGTTAATGGAAAGGAAAAAAAGGTTGCCACCATGGAGTTTGACGTCCGACTTGGCAAAATGTAGAACAGGTTCTACTAGCGTGAAAAAATTCAAGAAGAAGTTCAGTTCAATTTGACCATACATTCAATTCGTGTACAAATGCATGGATTTATTGTCGAAGTAAAACAGGAATTACCAATACTTGCAGTTGTTCCAACAAGGAATTTATTACTATCAGAGGGTGTCAAATACACTCATCCAAAGAAATTAATAATATGATGTTGCCTAGCTACCATTTAAAGGATCTAGTTGCCTATTATTGTCAAGGTGACAAACTCAAATTTTAATGAACGGATTGCAGATTTGGACTGGTCAATTTTCGAAGAGACAGGGGAGTAAGGTGCAAACGCTGGTTGGTTGTTTTCTTCTTACTAGCATTAAAAACCGCCTTCTAATATTATTTGGATTCTTGAGGTATTCAAAAAACTACATATGGCGCTATGCCTAACATTAGCAATTTCTCGCTTATTTTCAAATATTTCAAGATACATAGATTACTTATCAAAGTGAAGTAATGAAATTATCAGAATACAATTTTAAATCATATTAATCAAATACTTGGGTGTTTTTTGTTTTGATTATTCACATAGGGAGAGAAAAGCTACTTCTCATTAGAGAATTAAGGTGATATCTTGGGTTAGTAGTCGATCAGAGACGTTTAAGACCAAAGGAGCGATCATACTGTCATATTTGATAAATTCTTATATGAATAAAGGAATATTCCCGACATGTTTAAAAAACGATATTATTAAACCATTATTTAAATCTGCAGAGAGAGAGAGAAACCCAGCACCGAATTTGCAAATAAGTATAATTTAATAGTAATATGGTTTTCCAGAAGGTAAATCTACTCAAGATGCTATTGTAGAAATGACAAATATATTAAGTGACATATAAATCCGAACACCCAGTTTAAATGGTTTTATTTTAATAAAATTTTGTATAAGTACTTAATGAAGCATAATAAGTAAATGATAAAAATTCCAAAATGATTGCACTGCTTTAAAGCCCTTTGACCTTTAATAATGTGTGGATGCACCCTGATGTGCTACGCATTCTCCAACGCGCCTAGGCATGCTTCTGATCAGGTGGTCAATGTCCACCTGTGGTATCTCATTCCAGGCAACCACCAACTCCTCTCGAACTGCTTCTAGAGTCTGAGGAGGACGTTGCAAATTGAGCAATCTCCTACCCATCATATCCCACACGTGCTCAATTGGGGATAAGTCGGGAGATATTGGTGGCCATGGTAACAATTTGACATCATTATGTTGAAAGAAGTCTATTGTGACTCTTGCAACATGTGGTCGGGCATTATCTTGTTGGAAAGTTGGACCTGCCAGGGTGTCAAGATAGGGTAAATGATGGGGTTCTAGAACTTCGTGGATATAACGCTGCGCGTTCATGTTACCTCTGATGAAGATTAAAGATGACCTGGAACCATAAGCTATAGCACCCCAAACCATAACTCCAACAGTTTGATGAACATGTCTTTCAACAAAAAGCTGTGGATTCCTCCTTTCACCACGTCGCCTTCTAACCCTGGCACAACCATCGTCCATGCCTAAACAAAATCGAGACTCGTTACTAAAGACAATACTGTTCCATTCCTGATCCCAGAGTGACCGTTGTCTGCACCACTCAAGGCGATTAAGTCGGTGTTCTCGAGTTAAAGGGAGGACCCAGTGTGGCCGGTATGACAACAAGCCAAAACTTCTCATTCGTCGGTAAACACTTCGCATGCCAATAGGTCTTCCGTGTTCTGCAAACCATTCATTTGCAATGGACCTGGTAGTGGAGAAACGGTCCCTTAAGGCCAATAATCGTAGGCGGCGATCTTCACGGTCTGTTGTTCTACGGCGGCGTCCAGTGCCCCTTGCTCTTTGCGTACGGCCTTCTCGAAGCCATGCCTGACAACACCTAACCACAGTGTCTACACTTCTTTGCACTCTAACTGCAATTGCCCGAAAAGAAAGTCCAGTTTTCCGAAGTCCCACTATACGGCCCCTATCAAACTCACTAAGTTGACGAAATCGTACAGGTCTCCGTACTCTAGGCATCGTAACCGATCATAAAGGATGTCAAGAACCAAAATCCGCCAACGTTGATTCTTTACTGCGGCTGAAATATTCATTTTTAGAGCGTTAGTGAATTAAAGAAAGCAGTATAAAAACCGGAATGCCCAACTGATAAGGCTGAACATTTTTTCACTTGTTATTTACAGTAAAATACATTCACCAACTTTCATTAAAGTAAAACCATTTAAACTGGGTGTTCGGATTTATATGTCACTTAGTATATTATTAGCATTATTGTAGTAAGGAATGGTTGTACCAGACAAGAGACCACCAAGTTCGAAACTCATGTTTGAATAAATGTCACTTTACACCTGAACCCTTTTGGTATACATCTAGAATTTAATGGTTATTGTAACAGTCAAGAGGTGGCTAATTCTTCGGTGGAACGACCCTCCATCCACGTGTGCGTGGGAACGCAGCTGTTACCCTTGTATTATCGCTGTGCTTATTGCTATTGCTGAACCCGCAGCCGCAATGGTCTGTACACAGGACTACTGGGGCGTTTACCATTGACGTAGGGGAGGGTTCTTACCATGAAACTCATGACATTGCAGAATCGTATTAGAGTTTTTAGTTTTACTACTTCGTTATGATTCCTTATTTCTATTTTGCGCAGTAGCTACACAATCCTCCATTATTCGTTATCCAAATAAGAAAGCTTTAGCAGTGAATAGGGGAAGGATTAAATTATATTTTCCTTATTCAGCGCTGTTATCGGAATTTGTAAAGCTGGATACGCTTAATAATTAAAATAAGTTCACGCCATGAAAAGTTAAAATATAGTAGAAATTTGAGTTTTAGGTAGATGGAAATAAATGCAAGAAATACTTTTGACTTGGTAAATCACAATTTCCAAGATAACAGTTTGGGAGCCTTAGATAAGCAAATTGCATTAACGTCAATCTATACGTATAGAGTTTCCGAAAGCTTTTGACAGCATCAATCATGAATGACTGCTGTTTGAATTAAATCACATAGGTATTGGTAGCTCAGTTCTTCCAATTTGTAACATTTCAGGTTGAGCAGGCCCTGCATGCAGCGGCTGCATTTTGTCGGCACTCTCCGTGTGTTAGTATTGTGTCCACTAGTTCTTTGTTTTCGTGAACGTGGGCCATTTTGCGCACAATATAATCAGACAAATGACAGTATACGCACTATTAAAAGACTGACTAGGTACAACTGATCGAACCAAAGACTCGTACTCAAAACCATACAATAAGACGAAAAGTTTGCCAAATTTAGATGAACGATAACAATAGTAAACAAAAAAACGCTAAGAGTGTATACGGTAGTTCTCAAAAATATCAAAAAATCTAACACTCTCATTTTTTACTTCTTAATATTTTTCTATTTCTTTTATTATGCAACTTTTATATGGGTGATTTTTATTGAATCAACTCCTTTTGACGAGTCCTACAAGCAGTTAAAATAAATGACTCAATTTGGAAACACCCTGTATGATTCTTTAGCCAAATTGTACAAGCACTACTCATTACCAGCTTTTCGACAAAAAGTGAAATCATCGTTATTGTAATTACTTGATTAAACAATAATGCTTTTTTTACTTCCCTAATCATCTTTTTTGTTTTTCTATTTTCTGGTGTACTTTTCTGTTTCTGGCTAAAAATTTAAATTTGTTTTGAATATTTCTGTATTATTAACATCTGCTAGTGACTTTTATATTTAAATTTAGGAGTAGTAAACTATAAATTTAAGTGTCACATCAGCTGCATTACAATGTTGTAAAGTAATAAGCTCGTCTAT